TAGTAGTAGTAGTAGTAGTAGTAGTAGTAGTAGTAGTAGTAGTAGTAGTAGTAGTAGTAGTAGTAGTAGTAGTAGTAGTAGTACCAGACACACGCACGTGGCTTCTTGTCAACCGTGGCCCGAGGAGGAGGAGGCGGAGGAGGAAGAGGAGGATACGGATGAGGATTGAGATGTTGAGAAGGATGGGAAGGACGCCGATGGGAGGAGGAGGAGGAGGAAGAGGAGGATACGGATCAGGAGGGAGAGGTTGAGAAGGATGGGAAGGACGTCGAGGGGGGATCAGGGGGGGATCACCGACGATTCCATTAGAGCACCCATTGAATATTTATTCATGCTCTTGCCCCTTGTATGACCCCCTTATCCCTCTTTTTCTCCCTGTCCCTCCCTCCCCCGGGATGATGAGGATGGTGCAGGGGGGGATGATGACGGTGATGCCGATTGGGAGGATGAGGAACAAGGGCGTGACAGGAGGAGGGGGAGGAGGAGGACGAAGAGGAGGAGGACGAGGAGGAGGAGGAGGAGGAGCAGGAGGAGGAGGAGGAGGAGGAGGATGGGCAGGAGGACCAGTGTAGACGCTGAATGCGTCAACGATGTTGCTGTGCACCCCCTCCCCTAGCCTGTGCCCCGTGCGTCTCGACATCCAGCTTTTCCTGGGGAGCCGCCCCCTTTGAAAGACAGACGCCCGCCGGGCCTGCCCTTTCGGGCGAGGGTGTGGGCGTGGGCAAGTCCGCCCTGGACGTGGAAGAGGTCGTACTGGATACAGTCGGGGCCCTGAAGAAGGAATATTATTATTATTATTATTAGTATTAGTATTATTATTATTATTATAATTGTTATAGTTATAATAATAGTAGTAATAATAATAACCCTTTTGGTTGGGGAGGGGCTCCGCGTTCCTTAGGTGTTTCGCAGCTTGCCTCAGGTTTCCCTGGTGTCTTCGATAAGAAGTCCAAGGTTAACTTATGGAAAAAAGGGGCCTCGTTCCTTATTTAGGGTTCCTTCGGTCAACGCCCCGACTGTACGGTATATCAGTAAATCGTGTGCTGACCGCGAAGGAGTGCCAAGGCCTTGGTGTTTCACATGCCGTTCGCCCCCCCCCCCCCTGGGGCTTGTCCTCCCGACCAGAAGTCGCACTCGGTTCCTCTCCGCCGGCTGTGAAGAGCGAGCAGCGCTCCAGTGCCAGAGCAGAACCGTTGTGGTAATGGTAGCGTCGTACCCCCGTACACCTTCAGGCAAAAACGAGCAGCAACAACCACATGAGTGAACCGTGCAGACTACTCCCTGTAATGTGCACCGTGTAACGTGCGCCACGCAGCTTGCATGACGTAGCTTTCAGCACATCGGTTGCATCCCATAGCCCATAGTTTGCACCGGGTAGAGTGCACCATGGACAGAATTCAGCCAGTACGTCTTCGTTTCAGAAGAAGAAGGCGAGGCTCCACCACCTCCCCCTCCGAACTTGTCCCCCTCTTGGACATTGCAAAACGTTCTTCTGATTCTGCTTCCTCGCTCATTTTCCATATGATATCAGATTCTTCCAGACAGTCCCTGTGCCGACGCCCCCCATTCACCCCTGTCAAGTACGACTATGCACGCACACTCGCTTATAGGAAACGCTTTTTTGTTTCAATACGCCCAGCAACGAAAGACACAACGTCCACACGCGCCCGCACATGCCGACACCAGACCAAGCACAACAGTTCTCCAAGTATTGCAACGTTCGAACATAAACAGAACACAACAAACACCCATACGTTTTCCACCACACATTTTGCGCATTGTCTGCCCGCGCGCAAGTGTGGATCATATTGCAAACCCACATGATTTCAGAAATCTCGTCCAGAACCCGCTTGCTCACTTCACCACGCGGTGCATCCGCGTTCATCCAGCATGCGCCCAGTGCACGAATCCGTACCAAACAACACAGTGCGGGCCACGCGCGCGCGCCGCGCGAGCGCGTCGGCATCCTTCAAAACCATTGGTTTCGAAGCATGTCAAAGTCGAGCCTTTCCACAGCGTGTGAAACAACATGTTTGTCAGCAAAAAGTTCGCCTGGGTTTTTGGATCTCCGCGCGAGCGCATTTCCTCACCATCGCCCTCATCAGCGCAGCCCCATCACGTCACCGTCATTAACAATCGTCGCGCTTGCCGCAATCACCAGCCAGGGACCTTCATCTCCGACATCTGATCATCATCGTCATCGGGTTTACCATCATCGGCGCCGTCATTGGCCTTGCCGTCTTCATCGTCATCATCGCCATCACCATCGCCACTATCATCATTGCCGCGGCTGTTGCCGACGTCATCATGGTATGGCGCCCGAGCCACCGCCCAGCATTGAAGTGCCCGCGCGTCTTCGCGGCCTTTGGCACGCGCGAGGAAGTTGCCCCCGGCAAGCGCCATCGCGGACGCATCGGTTGTGCCAAAACAGCTGGACGCTCTGCTCGCGAGCTGGCTTGCGTCAGCGCGGCCGCAGCATGGCGCAGTCATCACAATCGCCGCCGCATGGGTTTTGCAAACCAAGTTGCGGATGGGAGGGTGGGATGATGGTGCGAGCAGTGGAGTTGTCAACTCCGAGTTCTTAATGATTCTATTCTTGCGTACCATAGACTGCACCGCATGGTCCCCCCCTCGAGAAATCGGAGTCTGCCCCCCTGCCGAGACCAGGCTTCGCCTTTTTTACTCCGCCAGTCCGCTCGTCCTCCTTCGGCCCCTCCTCCTCCTCCTCCTCCTCCTCCTCCTCATCCTCATCCTCATTCTCCTCTTCCATCGCCCCCCCTCCCAATGCCGATGCCCAGGCCGCTGGCCTCTGACCCGGCAACCGTGCGACCCGTGTCGGCCCTCCGCGCCTTTTGGGGGGATCGGCCGCGGGGTGCGCGCGCCGCTGCCTGGGATGCCACGCCATACCCTCAGAGGGATCTGGGCACCGACCCCTTCAGGAGGAGGGGGTGGGGTGAAGGAAGAGGAGGAGGAGGAGGAGGAGGAGGACGAGGAGGAGGACGAGGAGGAGTAGGAGGAGGAGGAGGAGGAGGCGGCAGACGAGGAGGAGGAGGCAGAGGAGGAGGAGAGGAGGAGGACCAGTGAAAACCCAAGAGTCATCAACGATGCTGGAATTAACCGTCCCTCCAGGCTCCCTCTTCACAGGCCCCTACAACGGTTCATTTCCATTGAGGGAACTGCCTCTTTGGAAGACAGCCTTTTGAATATCCTGAAGCATGCCAAAACATTGTTCTCGGGATTTGAACACCACACAGCAACCTGACTGCTGCGTTATGGCGATCCGGAATCGTGCCATGACACCATTTCTGGACTTCAACACTGCGAGTCAACATGGTTGTTGCGCCCGCGTAATCTTGAATCCGTCCAAAACGTCCTTTTTGGTACATTGATCATGGGAATCCGTGAAACTCTCTGCAAATTTTCAAGCGAATGTGCACGGCGCTAAAGCGAGAGCCACACTTTGAAAAGCAACCGCCTTCAATCCGTGAAACTCTTGCAAAGTTTTAAAACGAATGTGTGCGGCGCGAAGGCGAGAGCAACATTTTGAAAAGGAGCCACCCTCAATCCGTGAAATCCTTGCAAAGTTTTAAAACGAATGTGTGCGGCGCGAAGGCGAGAGCCACATTTTGAAAACGGCCCGCCCTCAATCCGTGAAATTCTTGCCAAGTTTTAGAACGAATGTGCGCGGTGCTAAGGCGAGAGCCACATTTTGAAAAGGAACCGCCCTCAACCCGGCAAGCTCATGCAATATTTCAAATCAAATGTGCGCGACGCTAAGGCGAGAGCCACATTTTGAAAACGACGCGCCCTTAATCCGTGAAGCTCGTGCAAACTTTGAAAACGAATGTGCGCGGCGCTACGGCGAGAGCCACATGTTGAAAACCACCCGCCCTCCATCTGTGAAATTGTTGCCACTTTTCAGCTTCAGAGTCGCAGATATTGAGGAAGTCTCCGGCGAAACGCCCGGCCCGCCCTGAAAACTGGCCTCGGGGTGCGACAGTGAGGAGTTATTTGTAAGGAGAAGGAATGGACGAGGAGGAGGACGAGGAGGAGGAACAGAAGAGGAGGAGGAGGAAAAGGAGGAGGAGGAGGAAAAAGGAGGAGGAGGAGGAGGAGGAGGAGCGAGGAGCGAGGAGCGAGGAGCGAGGAGCAGAAGCGAGGAGGGTGGAGGAGGAGGAGGAGGCGGAGGGGGAGGAGGAGGCGGAGGGGGAGGAGTAGGAGTAGGAGGAGGAGGAGTTGAGGAGGAGGAGGAGGAGGAGGGGAGGAGGAGGAGGAGGGAGGAGGGGGGAGGGGGAGGGGGAGGGAGGGGAGGGGGAGGAGGAGGAGGAGGAGGAGGAGGAGGAGGAGGAGGAGGAGGAGGACGAGGAGGAGGAGGATACTGAGGAGGATAATGAGGAGGAGGATGAGGAGGATGAGGAACTGGCGCAGTTGGAGGAGGAGGAGGAGGCGTAGGGGGAGGAGGAGGAGGATGGTCGGAGGAGACGGATGACGAGGATAATAGAGCGGGCTCGGTTTGCAGCTGGGGCTGAGAGATTCTCACGAATGTTGGACGCAGGTTTCCAGACAACCCTGCGTCGTCACATTTTCCATAGTCTCTCTGGGTCGAGCGTATGCAGCCACATTCCCAGGCCTCCGTTCTCGCGGTGCTCTGTGCACTCTCGAACCTCTACTGGGTTGCGCTGCGATCGGCCCCGCAGGCGGAGCCGAGCCGCCCCGCCAAGCTTGGCGAGCCAGCGGACGCCGCTGCTGCTGCCTTGGGGGCCGCGGACGCGGCGGAGCGGGCGGAGGCCGCCTCGGGCGAGGCGGGCGCCGCGTGCGAGAAGGCGAGCGCCCGCCACCGCCGCCCACCGAGCCCTCGGCGGCTGCCTGGGCCGCGATCTCGGCGGGGTGTTCCGCACTCCTGGGCAGCTGGTTGCTGGAGCTGGTGAAGGCGGGGGCGGCTTGCTGCCTCGTGCCCGTGTGCTGCCCGAGCAGGCGGCGCGATGGCGATGGCCCTGCAGTTGCTGGGCGCAGACCGGGGGTCGTACTTCACCCAGGGCGGCCAGCCCGTCGGGGCGGCGGAGTGGTGCGGTAAGCTGCTCTCGGGTCTCCACGTTGCGATCTTCTACTCGGGCGACTCTGACTACTGGCACGAGCGGATTCTGTTGTGGCCTGCCAGTGCTGACCTACCCCCTCGGAGATGGTTCGTGGCCACGCCCGACGGTGACGTGTACGCCGAGCCGATCAGGGTGGGCATGGGCTGGGGTTCTCGCTTTGTCATCGTGGACTCCTCGGGCGGCAATGCGGTCATCCCTGCGGGAACGCTGTATGCCTTCGAGCCGTTGCCGAGCGATGACGACCTCGCTCAGTACATCACCGAGGCCATAGAGGAAGCAGCGCTGGACGGGCTCCGCATCGCCTCTCAGGACGAGCTGAAGTACCTTCGGCGTGGCGGACAGGAGGTGCTGCTGGGGGACCTGGTGCCGCTCCCGCCCCCGTTGCCGGCGGCCGTCCCTGTGGTGGAGGTGCCTCCGAGTGATCACGGAGGCCCACCTGCCTCAGGAGACACGGCTCAGCCTGTGCAAGGGACGGACACGCCACGCGGCCGCCACGTTCCCGAGCCTGGGCGTGTCTGGGTCAGCCTCGAGACGGTGCCTGGCCAGATCGCCCGCGATGACGAGGTGAAGCTCAGCGAGTCCGCCTTGATCGATGACGACCGCGCCATCCATGTCCTGCCCAGTGGTAAGCGTATTGCCGTGCGGTTGGCCGACCTTCCTGTGGAGCCACTGCTTGACGAGTCGGGCCTGGGAGACGCCAGAGCGCTCGGGCCGTTGCGCTACGACTCCCATGGGCAGCGCCATCTGGACTATCGCACGGGTGTTCTGGAGCTCCGCGAGGAGGCCTTGGACGCGTTCCCGCTGAAGGGTGAACGATCGTTCTTGTGGCTCCAGCGGTACATCACCGAGCATGGCGGCACGCCTGACGGCCGACACACCAAGCACCTCACGGAGGAGTCTCTGCAGCCCGACAGCACGGCGGGCCACCTCCACGACTTGCTGGGGCTTTCCATGTTCTTGAGCGTGGTGTGCGACCAGGTCGACGGGTCCAACGTGGCTGCATGGAGGTGGTCGCCAGATGCTACCAACTAGTGGAGGAGACGAAAAGCTCCATGCGTACCGAGGGCCTTGAGTACTACATCGGGCGCGACCAGGGCGGCGCCACTCGGTGCGGCATCGCCGTGGCGCCGGGGCTGGCGCGCCACGCGACCGATCAGTTGGCAAAGGAGGTGTGGATCGCCAAGCAGCGCCGTAAGTTCAGGGAGGGGCAGGCGGCGAAGCGCGGCGAGGGTAGCCACAACAACAACAAGCACAAGGGCAAGGACAAGGACAAGCCGAACAAGGATAGTTCGCCGGCGGGGTGAACTTCGCGGGGGCCACGCGTGGCGAGCGTGCGCCCGATCCAGAGAGCCACTCAAGTCATCCTTCGGCGGCTCCTCGTGCTGGAGATGGCGCATTCCCCCTCAACTTTTTCTGCGACCCTGGCATGATTCCCGCTGGTCGCCGCAGTGGATTATCTGCATGCATTTTGAAAAGCTCCAAGGAGACGGTCGAGGCGTTGATCTTGATGGCCGGCTACCCGACCGACGAGTCCGTCACCTCGGACGCTTCTCCCTGGCACCAGGCACTGCGTGAGCGAGTGGTACAGCTACGCGCTGGGCACCGCCCGCCTACTTCGGCGTCGTCTCCGACGGTTTGTGGGGAGCTGCTGGGACAACCCCTCCTTGGCTACACTGGGGAGGTTACGTCGCTACGATCCTATGCGCGACACTTGGTCTCTTGGCCTGACGTCGGCAACCGGCCTGGGTGGCTGGCAGACAGGCTCGCCGCTCGGGACCAGTCTATTCTCTTGGATCGTGACCACTCGCTCGTGCTGCCGCAGCCCGAGCTTGAGGAGGTGATCAAGGCCGAGCAGCGGCCTCTACTCTATATGGATCCTGTTTTGAAGAATCACGCAAATGCTTGCCATGAGTATGTTCGAGATGGGCTTGCGCGAGGCTGCTTCCGTGTCGGCCGTCATCGGCGTGAAGGTGTGACTGTCTTCGTCCCAAAGAAGGACGGCGGCCTGAGGCTGGTATTGGACTGCCGCCCATCTAATCAGAGGTTCACCAAGCCTGACCCAGCCGCGCTCTTCAGCGGGGCCGCTTTGGCGACTTCGAGGCGGAGGCGGGCCAGACAGCCTGGCACGGGGGGCTGGACGTCAAGAGCGCCTTCTACCAGCGCCGCCTGCCGTCCTACTTGTGCGACTACTTCTGCATGCCGCAGGTGCGCGCTGGCGCTGTGGGAGTGACGCGCGTGCTGGGGCGGCCTGTCGAGCCGTGGGGCGTTGTGTGCCCGCAGATGTCCGTGGTGCCAATGGGCTGGTCGTGGGGGCTTTACATGGTGCAGAGGGCCCACGAGTACTCTCTGGACGACCACCCCCTCTTCACGACCTGTCCGAGGGCTGTCGACTTCCGACCGCCTCCCTCGGTGCAGGATGGGCCAGCCCACTCTCTGCGCGTCGATAACGTGCTGCTGGTAGGCACCAGTGAGGCGGAAGTCACCTCGAGGAGACGCCAGGCCCCTGCCGCCTTCGCCTCGCAGGAACTCGCAGTGCACTGCGAGGAGGACGCTACGCAGGATATGGACATGCTGGGCGTCAGGCTGACAGGCTCGCCTCCCGCCGTGCAGCTGTCAGAGAAGCGCTTCTGGATGCTGTGCTTCGGAATCCAGCGCCTGGTCGAGGTGAGACGTCGGGCCACCGGCAGCGAGCTTGAGCATCTCATAGGCCATTGCACCTTTTGCGAGCTGGTCCGGCGCGAGGCCCTCGCTAGCTTCTGCGCTGTGTACGCTTTCATCCGCGCAGGTTTTGTCGAGTGGGAGCCTCTGTGGGACTCGGTGGGCCGTGAGCTGAGAATCTCCCAGGGCATCTTCATCCTCCTGTCTCGTCGTCTGGATGCCGAGTGGTCCCAAACAGTGATAGCCACCGACGCGTGCGAGACGGGTCACGCGTCTGTCATCGCCGATATGCCGATCGATTTCGCCAAGCGAGCGGGGAGGTGGCAGGAGAGGTGGCGATATCGACATACTCGATCTGATGATGGGACTTACCGACCAGGCGACCGAGCGACAGGTGCGGAGGAGCTGGAGGGCGAGGACGGGGCCGCGCGATCGATCGACGACGTGCGAGAGGTCGGCGAGGTGGATCCGAGCTTCCCCGAGGTCTCTCCCCAGTATGTTAGGGATGCCAAGTGGGTCTGCCAGCGTCGCAGACTCACGAGGGACCCCGAGGCCATGCGTCGAAAGGAAGCCCGAGGAGTAGCCGAGGCAATTCGTGTACATCTGTCTGACCCACAACGATGGGGTGAACGGGTGCTTCTCTTGGGCGATAACCTGGGCCTTTCTCTCGCCTCGTCGAAGGGTCGGGCTCGAGACGCGCGACTTCTCAATATTATGCGCCGCTGGTCCGCCCTGCTGATTCTGACAGGCACAGTCGCGTGCCGCGGATGGCTGTTACCGGAGCTGAACCCAGCGGATGAGCTCAGCCGCTGGGAGCTCAAGTCTGGCAAGCCGCTGCCGGTCGCGCTCGCCCCGCCTGGCCTCGCATCCCCCGCGCCTAGGCCAGCGCCAGGCGCTTGCGAGGGCCGCGACGCGGGCGCTGGACGTGCCGCCGATTCCGAGGCGAGCGGAGGTCCCGCGTCCGACGAGGACGGGCCCTCGGCGGGCGCCAGCTGCCGCGGCTGTGACACCGCGGCCCTCGCGGCCGCCCCGCGGACCGCGCCTGCTGGGACTGCAGCCCGCGCGCAGCTCGGGCACGCCAGGGGCCCCGCTGCTGGCCGCGGCCGAGCAGACGACGCAGCTCGAGGCGGCCGCGTTCGGCGCGCACGCCGCAGGGGAGCCAGGGGCGGGGTCGCTCAACGTGAACGAGAGACGACGGGCCTATGCGCGGCAGTCCACCCACGGGCCCGCTCGCGACACTAATTATGCACCAGCTAGGGATCACCGAGCAGGCAGCCGTCCAGCAGCGGACTTTCACCAGCTACAACCGGTTGCTCTCTGCCTTCATGATCTTTTGTGGCCTCACCAGTCTCATCATGCCAGCCCACTCGCTCGACGCTCGGATCGTGCAGTTCTTCGATCACCTGTATTTGCAAGGGAAGGCACCCTCCACTGGCGAGAAGCTCATTGCAGCCCTCATGTTGTTCATCCCAGACTATCGCGTTCGGGGCCGCCGGCCACTGCCGCGGTCGTGGCGGGCGCTGCGCGGGTGGAGGAGGCTCGCGCCTACCAGGACGCGCAGGCCGCTGCCTTGGGCGGTCTGCTGCGCGGTCGCGATGCAGATCCTGGCCGAGGCAGCGACGGTAAGCCTGCCCTACGGCTTCGAGGCAGCCCTGGCCTGGATCAACATGGTTGACACGTATCTGCGGCCAGGAGAGGCGATGAGGCTCACTGCAGCGCAGGTCTTGGGGCCCTGCGGGATCGTCTCGGACGTGGTGATTCACATGAGCCCCGACTACATGCTGAGAGCCTCCAAGACAGGCGAGATGGACGAGACCGTGGCGATCTCGCGACGCTGGATCGGGGCGTGCCTTGTCGCCCTTGCCTCGAGCCGCCGCGGGCGGCCGTTATGGCCGCTCATGCTGTCGCAGCTGAAGGACCTGTTCGATCGCGCCGCCGCGCGAGCGGGACTCGCGCCGCTCTCGCCAGTTCTCTACATGGCCCGCCGCTCGGGGGCATGCGTCGACCGCCAGGAGGGCAGGCTGAACCTCGACGAGGTCGCCAAGAAGGGACGCCGGCGCGCGCTGAGCAGCGCGCGGCGCTACGAGAAGCGCGGCCTGCTGCAGGAGGTTTGGAACAACCTCAGCGCGCGCCTGCGCCAGTGCTGCGAGTCAGCCGCGGCCGCATTAGCCGACAAGCTCGTGGCGCATTTCTGCGGCAGTGGCAACGCAAGACGGCGGACCCCCTCTGGGACTACCAACCATTCTACATAGAGCTGTTCGCAGGGTCCGAGGTCTGGAACAAGGGCATGCGGCGACGCCGCTGCAAGGTCTACTCCTTCGACATTCAGCAGGGGCCCGAAGGCGACCTTCTCCGTCCTAGCGTAATGCGGCGTGTCCTGAGGCTCGTGCGATCAGGCCACTGCCTTGGCGTTCTGGCGGGCGTTCCGTGTACAACCTAATCGATCGCCCGTGGTGGGCGCAATGCTATTCGTTCAAAGCAGTATCCTGCAGGCCTTCCTGGGCTTCCGCCCCGCCTGCAGTCTCAAGTCGATGAGGGCAACATGTTGTTTCACAACGCTGTGAGGATATTCAACCAGTGCATTAAATATCGAGTTCCTTTTCTCTGGGAGAACCCGCAGAGCAGCTACATGTGGAACATGCCAGATGCGATCTGCATCTCATCCGTTCCACAGGTGCTAGATGTCATCACTCACTACTGCGGTTGGGGCACTGCGTGGAAGAAGCCGACTCGTTTTCGGACGTTCCTGCTGCCCGATGCCGAACGGTTACACAAGAAGTGCACAGGGCGCGGATTCTGCTCTTTCACTGGCGATGCTCACCATATGCTGCAGGGCCGAGACGACAGTGGTGTTCACTGGACTCGGCGTGCTAATCCTTGCCCTCCAGCGCTCGTTCGTCAGCTCGCTGGCCTTTTTCAGGACGCCGGCTTCGCCGTGCAGTTTCCTCTCAGTGTGCATGCGTCAAATGCGTAGAAGAGCCCGCTAAATTTGGCAGAAGGAATGTTGCAGTAGGACAGGTCTCCTAAAGTTGGTAGTCAGATTGATGCTCGTGCGCGTCGTTCGATTCTCCCGAGCCTTCGGTTCAGAGGTTTTTTTCTCACAGAAGTGTCGCGGTTCATCTCATGTTGTTCAGAGGGAGTCTCGGAGTAGAAGCAGCTAATAGAGCGGGCTCGGTTTGCAGCTGGGGCTGAGACATTCTCACGAATGTTGGACGCAGGTTTCCAGACAACCCTGCGTCGTCACATTTTCCAAAGTCTCTCTGGGTCCTCCGCCTCCCCTCCTCCTCCTCTCTGCGGGTGAAGCGTATCTGTGCACTGGCCGTTGTGGTAGTCAGATTGATGCTCGTGCGCGTCGTTCGACTCTCCCGAGCCTTCGGTTCAGAGGTCTTTCTTCTCACAGAAGTGTTTCGGTTCATCCCATGCTGTTCAGAAAGAGTCTCGGAGTAGAAGCAGCTGATGATGATGATGATGAGGAGGAGGAGGATGCTGATGATGATGATGCTGATGCTGCTGCTGGTGATGATGATGCTGATGATGATGACGATGCTGATGGTGATGATGTTGGTGGTGATGCTGGTGGTGATGATGATCACGGGGATGCTGATGATGT